ACATGGTGATGGAGAATATTTTGGAGACGAATGGAGTTGTTTCACAGGTAGGATTTGGCCTGCCACATGGATAGCTAATTTATAATTGATAATCCCAAATGACAGGTTCTTAGGTTCAATTTGTTAACCAGTACAGGCAAGCAAATCAAATCAGACAAACAGCTCTTTAAACATGCCCTTCATAATATTTGAAATGATAGTATCTGAAACATCTCAACAGCATTTGAAAGAAAAAAAAAATTAACAGATGTAAATCTGACAAACCATGCTGGAGGTCTTTTGTTGACATAGTTAAAATATCCACAGAGTATCAAAAAGTTAAATACCATAATTTTCCAACACAAAACGTGTTCACTTTACAGTGGGACCTCTTTCCAGTGGACAAACATGTAGAAATAACTTTAAGACTGTTTCATCCAATGACCAGCATGGAATTATATCTGCTGTACGCAAAGAGAGTTAAGTCCTGGTCTATAGTCTGTTTTAAAAGGATGAATTTCTTGAAAAAGTCAGTGATAAACAAATATATGAGACAAAAAAAAGAGTCTTTAACAGTGAATGATTTTACCAGATTCAAAAATCCAGTTGTGCAGTTAGATAGGATATTGTCTTTTGTTAAAAATATCCTCATTGAGGAGAAATACAGAAGGACAGATAATATAGCAAAAACTTTTTATTTACTCATTATTGTAAATCTGGACAAGTGAAATATCAACAACAGACATATGAGAAATCATCAGTGAGAAATTTTACAGCCAGAAACACTAAGGACAAAGAGGAATTAAAAAAAAAATATATTGTGAACAAAATTAATCCTAGCAAAATCATAGGTCTGTTATGAGAAGCAGCTGAACTGTTATTAGAACAGTTGAAATTGTCCATAACAATGCAGAAGAGAGTGAAGTATTCAACAAATATTTCTGCATAATGCAGTCCCACCCCAGTCATGAATGCCATATGTTTTTGCCTAAAATAATATGTAAATAATTTTTAATACACAGGTAGTTTAACTCTAAAATTAACGTTGCTATTCAAGAAATTAAAGAATATCAAAGAACTATTAAAAACCTGGATAAAGCCAGGGTTACAGTAGGATTTGGACAACACAAAAAAATAGGACCTTGATTATATAATCCTAGCTATGCTGGAATCAGTAGCAGGTAAAATAACTGAAGGCCTGATACGTGATGTAATCAATACAGAGAGAGATTGTGTAATTAGTGCCAATGAGCATGTTAAATTAGGTAGACTTCTGGGTGAGATTGCCAAATATGATTGAGAAAGGTGACTGCATCGACATACGCTTCTGTAAAGCAACAGACATACAGCAGTACGTCAATCTAATTAAATGATTAGCATTATACAAAATCAGTGTAACACGTAATAATTAATTAAAAACCAGCTAAATGACAGATCTCCAAAAGTAACTATAAACAGCTAATCATTATCCCTCGGGTAATTCTTGAGGAATTTGTCTGTGCTTTTTCAGAGCGAGGTTTTCCCAAAGCGTTTCTGGTGCCAGGACTCTGCCAGCCCACCCCATGCCTCCGCAGTGCCCAGCTGGCTGGTGCAGCTCCAGTTGCTCAGATCCCTGCTGGGAGCTGGCACGGGCTGTTTGCCGAGACGGGCATATGCCGCCGCCGCGCTAGCACCGGTTCCCTGGCCTGCTTTGGCATCCCGAGAGCTGAGCGCCAATCTGATTCGAAGTGGGATGAGCTCTAAACACACCCTTGACACCGCTGCCTTGGGGGATTGAGCCCCACGTTTTAGAAAATGCTGTCCTCTGCTACTACATAAATTTATGAGTGATCTGAAGAAATACTTAACAGCATTAATGGTGAAATTTGCAGATGACATAAAATGCATAAAGCACTAAATAATGCAAAGAAAAAACAGTTTTTCTGTAGGGAAACTGACATCCTTTAGTAAGCCAGGATCATTTGAACGTGCTTTTTTGAGACAGCTGAATGCAAGGTCATTCAGCAGGAACAAAGAATGTAGGTCACGTTTAGAAGACTGGAGACTGTGTCCTGGAAAGCAGTGACTCTGAAAAGGATTTAGGGGTCACAGTGGTTAGCCAACTAAAGAGAAGCTCCCAGAACAAATTTCCAAGGCATTTGGTAGAGCCTTCAGATACAGGAGTGTTGGGCGGTGACATAACTGTATCCAATTCTACTGCACACTTTTGACAAAGGTGTTTAAAAATTGGAAATGTTCAGAAAAGCACTGTTGGAATGCTGTTAGATCTGAAAAACCCGATTAACAGTAACAGAGAGGAGAAGTCCAAGTTGCTTACTTTATCCAAAGTGGGATTAAGAATTGACTGTATTGTGGTTTACAAAGTTGCGTTACAGAGGGCTCTGGAAAGACACAATATTCCAAAGTCTGTCCAACGAGGAAAGACAGTTTTGTATTAGCAAAACAGTATGCTCTTTTAACGGGGCGACTACGTAACTGTCGAAACAATTTACAGAAGCTTTGTTTCTATTTAGAAGTGCATTGTTTTAATTTAGGTGGAGGACAAACACATGAAAAGGTGAAGGAAAAGTATCTTTTAAGTGCTTTAAAAAGAAAAGCACAGCAAGAGTGCATGACAAAGGCAAATAGACGGTACAATATTGCGTTATGTCTTCATGTTAAACAAAACTGTAAATGAACAAAATAATAAATTTTAAAAGATACTTTCCTATTGGGTTTATACTTTAGTATTGTTTTATATCGTATTCTTTTCTTTTGAGCTTTATGGTTTTTTTAACATAATCAGAATTAAGGTCTTTCTTGAACATCTGTGAAATATTTTGCACACTTAGGCTAGCCGTGAATAATACATGTCAGAGAGATGTAAACACCAATGGGAGAAATAAATTATGTACGTGAACACAGGGCACTATAGCTAAAGTAATGAGCTGAAACATAAGAAACTTCCATTAACCCGATCGTCAGAAAAAAAATTCCTTATAATTGGAGGAATTCAACTTTGAAGAGATGTCTCCTTTGGGAAGTAGAAGCCCCATTACCTGAGATATTTAAAATGAACTGGACAAAACAGCACTGAAGAATGTTAAAGAACAATCCTTCGTCAGGACCATGATAGTCTTTTCCATCTCTAATCTTTGTGATCTCCTAGTTTTTCTTATCATTTAAGACTGTCATGAATATTTTATTTGATTGTTGACCTACAAATGAAGTGGTTTAAAGAGTAGAATTTTAATGCAAGATTAGCAGAATTCTTTTAAAATTAGTTTCCATTCTCCCATCAAATATACCATGACCAATATCGCCATATCTATTACAGCTAAACACAAACAAAGAGATTTTCAAAAGCAATAGACTGAAAAGCAATATAGCTGGTGAAATAGTCAATGCGGAGGTGCTCAATTTTTAGGAACTTGCATTTGAAAAATGACGATCTCTAGTAAGGTCCCCATTGACCACAGGAGAAGAATTAAGTAAGTGCCTGAGAACAAGATCAACAAAAACTAAGCTGGGTGGTAAGAGCATGCTGAGGACAGAGTTGTACACTGAATTCTGAATCTCTTTGGTATTCAGGTATTTTAATGCTATTACTCTTTTGAGCAGAGCTTTCCTGAAGATTTTAGGTGCTTGTTGTTACACTTTCAAAAACTAAGGAAACAAGTGTAGCCAGAAGGCTCCTGTTTCTGTGATCAGAGCACTCCTCCAAGACAATGAAGACACAGCAACAATTAATTTTTCTCCTTTAGGGAATCTCCTGTCTCCTAAAAGCCTATCTGTGGACTATTCTAGGGGAAAAGAAAAGAAGGGAAGTGCTCCATCCCGTTCTTCTTTTGAGCCTCTTACAGTTTTTGTAGACTGAAGGCTTCATTTGCCTTCAGACAGATTAAGCAGGAGCCTCTGTTCTGATTAGAGGTCTATCACTGGCAGCAGGGCACCCCGGGCTTAAGTCCCTACTCCACTGATTGTTTCTGGATTTATGGATATAAAACACATAAATGGTCCGTAATACAGACACACAAAGCCATCTTTTGTCCTTCCCAAGTGCCATAACCACGAGGTTACAGACTAATTCCCTCTCTCTGATCTAATGCATTTTTAATTCCTTCAGAGTACAAAGTGGAGCAGCTTCAGCAGAAGGGACAGACTGTGTTTTCTTCCCATCCGTGTCCCCCTGGACTGTGGGCTGTTTACCTGACAAGCAGAAGAGAGTCGAAGTCTTTGTCGCACAAAGGAAAGCGAACCAGGTCCTTCACCTCGAGAGTGTTTTAACCACTGAGATTTTTATATTAAAAGGAAGAGTAACCAAGCCTTTGAAGAGAAAGCATCAGTTACGGCTGAATTTTTGTGTGGAGGCTGACTTAGCAAAGGTGCTCCCAGACCTGAGGGGCTTGGGCATAAGAGGAGCCAGTCAGTCAGGTGAAGCCTGAGACACCTTTGGGCGAATTCACCTTCTGGGAAATTTAAGAGTAAAAAAACTGTAGCGTCTATGGAGGCTAGTCACCTCCGAGGTCAGCCGTAACTAAGCGAGCAGCGTGAGGAAGCCTGGCTCCAGTTTTAGCCCCCAAATTCCACGTCAATCCCACCTTCAGCACCCAGCCCTGTCGGGGAGCTTTGGGGACCGGGCGGGCCTCCCATACTTCGGGACCAGGCCAACCTCGTAGAAACGCCGAGCGACACGCTTGGTAAAAATACTTCCAAAAGCGGTTTTGTTTTTTTTTTTTTTTTTTG